CCAGGGAACTACAGACTGGTCAGCCTCACCTCAGTCCCTAGAAAAGCTCATGAAAGCTTATGCTCAAATAAATTCCTTAGTCTCTAAGGTGCCACAAGTACTCCTTTTCTTTTTGCGAATACAGACTAACATGGCTGCTACTCTGAAACCTAGAAAAATCATGGAGCAGGTCCTCAAGGAATCCATTTTGAAGCACTTGGAGGAGAGGAAGGTGATCAGGAACAGTCAACATGGATTCACCAAGGGCAAGTCATGCCTGACCAACCTGATTGCCTTCTATGATGAGATAACTGGCTCTGTGAATATGGGGAAAGCAGTGGATGAGATATGTCTTGACTTTAGCAAAGCTTTTGATACAGTCTCCCACAGTATCCTTGCCAGCAAGTTAAAAAAGCATGGATTGGATGAATGGACTATAAGGTGGATAGAGAGCTGGTTAGACTGTCGGGCTCAATGGGTAGTGATCAATGGCTCGATATCTAGTTGGCAGCCGGTATCAAGCGAAGTGCCCCAGGGGTCAGTCCTGAAGCCGGTTTTGTTCAACATCTTCATTAATGATCTGGATGATGGGATGGATTGCACCCTTAGCAAGTTCGCAGATGACACTAAGATGGGGGGAGAGGTAGATATGCTGGAGGGTAGGGATAGGGTCCAGAGTGACCTAGATAAACTGGAGGATTCAGCTAAAAGAAATTTGATGAGGTTCAACAAGGACAAGTGCAGAGTCCTGCACTTAGGATGGAAGAATCCCATGCACCGCTACAGGCTGGGGACTGACTGGCTAAGTGGCAGTTCTGCATAAAAGGACCTGGGGATTACAGTGGACGAGAAGCTGGATATGAGTCAACAGTGTGCCCTTGTTGCCAAGAAGGCTAACGACATATTGGGCTGCATTAGTCGGAGCATTGCCAGCAGATCAAGGGAAGTGATTATTCCCCTCTATTCAGCACTGTAAGGCCACATTTGGAGTATTGCATCCAGTTTTGGGCCCCCCACTACAGAAAGGATGTGGACAAATTGGAGAGAGTCCAGCGGAGGGCAACAAAAATTATTAGGGGGCTGGGGCACATGACTTATGAGGAGAGGCTGAGAGAAGAGTGAGGGGGGATTTGATAGCTGCCTTCAACTATGTGAAGGGGGATTCCAAAGAGGATGGCGCTAGGTTGTTTTCAGTGGTGGCAGATGACAGCGGTCTTGGTTGGATATTAGGAAAAACTATTTCACTTGGAGGGTGGTGAAGCACTGGAATGGGTTACCTAGGGAAGTGGTGGAATCTCCATCCTTAGAGGTTTTTAAGGTCTGGCTTGACAAAGCCCTGGCTGGGATGGTTTAGTTGGGGTTGGTCCTGCTTTGAGCAGGGGGATGGACTAGATGACCTCCTGAGGTCTCTTCCAATCCTAATCTTCTATGATTCTAGGTGTGCACACACACACACAAGCGATTTAATAAGTACAGTGGCTCTATGCTGATGTAAATTAAGTTGACATAATTTTGTAGTGTAGACGTGGCCTTAGTATGGGCTAGTTTAAAGCAGTCCTATGACCTGGAGAATTTTGCTTATTTATATAACACTTAAAAGATATGTATGCCTGGGCAAATGTTATGGAAAGATAAAGTCATAGCTGACTTGTAGGATGAGCAGAGTCCTACATCTGGTGGCTATGTTCACTGGGCTAACTGCTATATTGATTTACACCTTGTCCAGCCCCACAGAAACAACAACAATTGACGTCCCAATGGATTTGTACAGGTATAACTCTGCTGATTTTTGCCCACTTTGGGGGTCGGGGGGGGGGGAGGGGCATCCTCACTTAAGACTGAAACCTAGACCTTAAGGATTTGTAGACAATTTATCTATCAGGGTCTTTGCCAATGGCAAAACTACCATTCACTTTAATGGGAGCAGGAATTCTATAACTCAGAAAGGATCTTTCCTTTGTACTAAGCTTGTCTCTGCCGGAAGGCACTCTTTGCATGTTACAGAGTATGTTATATCATGCATACCTCCCTCTTTTTTAATTGCTTTAGAGTTATTTCACAATGTGATTTAGGGTTATTTACCAGACTCTAATAGAGAGCAAATCTTACAAATTCTGACTCCTGTGAGTAACCCCTACTGATGCAAGTCAACGGAACTAACAAAGGTCCTGTTATTGCAAAACATGCATGTGAGTAGTCCCCTCTCAAGTGTGCAAAGCTAAGCATATTCAGAAAATTTTGCCAAATTGGGGCCCAAATTAATAAGTGTTTACAGGACTGGGTTGTGTGATTGTACAGTCCACAGAGAATAAACACCAAGAAGTTGTAAGTGGCAATCTGTAATGAAAGGTAAAAATAAGACTGATAAGTGCTGAAAATCACATTGTTTGCATTGTCCCATAGGTGTAAATGAATGGCAGAGCCACAGGCATAGTGGCCACATGCTTGTTCAGACTCCATAATGGCATTCAGCGATGCAGTAGATCTAATGCGGAAGTTGTGTACATTGGAGCCATGTATAGGGATAGATTATAGATCTTTTCCATAGTACCATTTCTGAGCCAAATTCTACTGAATTTACTCACCAGTGTGATCCCATTGACTTCAACAGCATGGGGAAAGTGAATGCATTTGGCCCTTTGTTGTTGTCACTTATTTGTTTTGCAGTAGCGCCTAGGAAGCCCTAGCCATAGACCAGGACCTAAGTTCCCTCTAAGCTGTGCAGCAGCCTATTAAGTGCCATGCAGGCACTCAGGGCTGCGGTGGGGAGAGATTCCTCTCCCCCAGCCCCAGCCCAGCCATGGCCCCAATCCACGCCCCCCTCCCCCGGCCCCAATCCAGCCTGGCCCGGATCTACCGCAGCCATGGGAGAAATGCCTCTCCCCTGATCCTAACCCAGCCCCGGCCTGGACTTGCTGCGGCCGTGGGAAAAGCACCTATCCTGTGGCCCTAGCCCCGGAGCTGCTGCGGTAGGGAGAGGTGCCCCTCCCCCCCCCCCAGCCCAGGTGCTGCTGCTGGGAGAGAGAGCTGGGGGCAGTTCTCTCTCCCCATCACAGCCCCAGGGCAGTCTGCACCCCAAACTCCTCCCCCCACCCTAGACCCTGCACCCCAGCCAGAGTCCTCCCCCCAACCCCAATCCTCTGCCCCAACCCTGAGCCCCTCATCCCTGGCCCAACCCCAGAGCTCTCACCCCACCACACCCCAACACTCTGCCACAGCCCTAAACCCCTCAATCCCGGTCCCGCCCCAGAGCCCGCACCCCCAGCCAGAGCCATCACCCCCTGCATCCCAGCCCCCTCCCACACTCCAAACCCCTGGGCCCCATGCCCGCCATATGAATTTTGCTATGTGCACCTATATGGAGGTGATGTGTCACACATCACCTCCATATAGGTGCACATACAAAATTCATTCCACACATGGATGGGAAAAGTTGGAGGGAACACTGATCAGGACCCCACTGTACAAACACAGAACAAAAAGATTGTGTCTGCCTCAAAGATCTGACAATCTGAGTTTAAGACAAGAGACAACCAGTAGTTATAGACAGGAAGGTACAAGGAAACAATAATCTTTTGCTTGGATTACACTGATAGGAACCTCTAACAATCAAAAATTTTCTTTTAAAAGATGAGGCTAAGACAAAGAGTTACACAGAAAATGTTCTCTTTAGTTATTGTAAACACGTAGGGTTGGGGAGGTTGGTTTTTGTTTGTTTGTTTTTTTAAGATTTAGTAATTTTCTTTATTGTAGCCTTGAGATCATAATTGAGTTCTGACAGCCAGCTTCATCTGGCCAAGATAATAAAGGGAATGTTCTTATAATATGAAATATTCCCATCCCTTTGCTGATTCTTGTAGTTCTTCCTTGAAATTAATATTTTGAAAAAATTTCTCTTTTTTGAGAGAGATGGGCAATTAAGAATTTGAAAATCTTGTGATGTAGCTGTCAGCAGGATTTCACACTTTTAGATAAAAAGATTCAGAAATATTTTAAATTAAAGAAAGAAAAAAAGAAAAAACATTAATTAGGCCTTGATATCATAAACATTTATGGATATGTATTACTTTATGCATGTATCAAGGGGGCTACTCAGTTAAGCATGTCCCTAAGCATTTGCAGAATTGGAGCCTTAGTGAAGTAATGTTTTAAGTGCAGGATAAAAAATCACTGAGAACATTTACAAGTTTTGGTTCAGAATATTATTCTGGATATTTAAAAAAAAATAAAACAAATCCTGAATCAGCAAAAAGCTTCACTTATTATAGATAACTTATGTGCAGTCCAAGGGGTAGATCTAGGAGCAATGACATGAACTTGAGCAAAGGAAAATTCAGGCTCGATACAGGAAGGCATTTTCAAACAGAATAACCTTATTAGACTGTGGTCCAATATTCCAAGAAACATGGTAGAAGCCTCATCGCCTAGGACATTTAAAACTGGACTGTAGAAAATACTTAAGCATACACCATGGAAACAATTCTGTACCAGCTAGGGGAATTGACTAGCTGAGCTCAGCAGGCTACAGCTCACTTCATCAGCTACTGTAGCTCGCGAAAGCTTATGCTCAAATAAATTTGGTAGTCTCTAAGGTGCCACAAGTCCTCCTTTTGTTTTTGCGGATACAGACTGACACGGCTGCCACTCTGAAACCTGAGCTTAGCAGGTATTTTTCCACTTCTTATTTATGAGATCTTGTGAAAATGCTATTGTGGTAGGTGCACTACAAACACAGAACAAAAAGATGCTCTCTGCCCCCAAGGAGTTTACAACTGAATAAAGGACAAGGGAAAACAAATGGATACAGACCAGGGGGCACACGGAGACAATATTGGTGATAGGTAACGGTTTCAGCATGCCAGCAGCCTAACTCCTCAAGTTTTTATGGGCATACTGGCAAAGCAGAGTTTTGAGTGGGGATTTGAAGTTGGATGATGAGGTTTCTTTGCAGATGTTTCTGGGGCTGCCTCCCGAGCAAAAGAGGCAGCATGGTAGAAAGAACCCAGGTGATTTTTAAAAACTCAAGTTTTCCTCAACTCCAGTTGTTTTATTTGTAATATGATCTGACTAAACAGCATAATTAACACATGCAATGATGATGAGCACGTTGTGCATGCTTAGGGCCCAGTTTAGCGATGGCCAGGGAGCGGAAAGCCCTGTTGACTTCAGGGGAAGTTCCCAGCCCAAAGGGTTTGCAGAATGGGGTCCAACGCTGCACTAGGTTGTAGTCGCAGGGACCGCTTGAATACGGGGAAGTCGAGGTGTGCATCTTTGACATCCTCTTTCCCCTGCTCTTTTAATTTCCCTGAAAAATAATAAGCGACACATGTAAAGATCAAGCCCCTCTGATCCCCCCGGGATGTCTCCATGTGCCGCACAGACCCCTAGCGCCCGCTGCCCCCCGCCTGACCCTATCGCTGGGCTCCGTGGGGCACCCGCGTGCCGGGCTGGCTGCGGGGCGGGTCTGGCAGCGGCATCCCCTGCCCAGGGCATGTCACGACAGAGGGAACGGGCGACGCGAGCGCCAGCCCCGGGGTTAGGGAGGCCCCGGCCCGGGGAGCGCCCGGCGCGGCGCGGCAGGAGGCAGCTCCCCGGAGCTGGCTGGCAGCCGGGCAAAGCCTGAGGCGCCGGCAGGGCCAGGGCGCCGCCAGCCGGCTCCAGCCCCGCGGCCCGCTGTGCCCAGGGTCCGGCTGGCCTGGGCCCGCGATCAGCCCCGCGCCGCGCCCCGCCCCGGCCCGGCCCGGCCCGGCCCGGCCGGCTGCCTGGCTGCGGCGCTCGGCGCTGCTGGGCGAGGTCAGGGAAAGTCCATGTGAGGAGCCGCTGGAATCACTTCCTGCCGCCGAGCCGGCCAGCGCCGCTAGGCCCGAGGGAGCCGCCGCGCGTCCATGGGGCAGCGAGCCCCGCAGGTAATCGCCGCCGGCCGGCCGGCCGGCCCGCCGGGAGCCGGCCCTGCCCCGGGGCCCCTGCCGCCGACACGCGCCCCGCCCGCGTTCGCTCCCCCGCCCCCCGAGTCACCCCCCCGGGGTTCACTCCCCCTGCCCCCCCGAGTCGCCCTCCCGAGTCACCCGTGTCGCCCCCCCGAGTCACCCCCCTCGCCCCACTGGGTGTCGCTCCCTCTAGCTCCTCCCAGTCACCCCCCGGGGTTCGCTCCCCCTAATCCCCCTGCCCCCCCGAGTCACCCCCCGGGGTTCGCTCCCCCTGCCCCCCCCCGAGTCACCCCCTCACCCCACCGGGTGTTGCTCCCGATAACCCCCCAGTCACCCCCCGGGGTTTGCTCCCCCTGCCCCCCCGAGTCACCCCCCTCGCCCCACTGGGTGTCGCCCCCCCGAGTCACCCCCTGGGGTTCGCTCCCCTACCCTCCCTCGTCTCACCCGCTGTTGTTCCCATGCTTCCCACGGGGCTCGCCCCAGCCTCTTCCCCTCATTTCCCTTGCCCCACTGGTCTTCATCCCCTCCTACTCCCCCCCAGAGTCATCTTCCCCCGGTGCTCGCCCCCTGAGTCATCCCCCTCCCCTTCTCCCCAACCTACCCCCAGTCACCCTGCTTGCCCCACCACTGTTCACTCCATCCTACTCCCACACGGAGTTATCCTCCCCTGGAGCTGTCACCCCCCACCCCTAGGGCCACCTCCCCTGAGGCTCTCGCACCCCATCCTGCTTCCCCCCCCCCCCAGTGTTTACCCTCCTCCCCTGGGGCTCACACCCCATCCTACACCCACCCCTACAAGTCACCCCCTCGCCTGGGGTTACCCTCCATCCTCTCCCCTGAAGAATCAACCCCTTTTTTCCTCAAGGGAGACTTGTCCCCTAGCTTATTAGTTGCAGGAACTCCCCCACCCCTAATCTACAAACTTGCCCCTGGAGAGTCACCCACACCCCCAAAGGGGGGGTGTCATATTCCTACCGCTGCTAAAGGGGGATTCATCCCTCCCCTGCTCACCCTATTCAGCAGACTTGCCTCCTCTATCCTCCCTCCGCATCCCCCCCAAGAGGGCAGCCATCCCACACCTATTCCCTGGTCCGTCTCTCTCTAAAGGGACTAAGCCCCCGGCCTGGTGCTGTCTTCCTAACCTACATCCCAGAGGGGATTCACTCACCTCCCACAGAGGCTCAGTCCCCACCTACCCTTCTCGTAATCCACAGCAGACTCATCATGAACCCCTCCCCACAGTCATCCAGAGGACTTGCCTCTTCCCCCTCTGATGTTCTCTCCCACCCACAGGGGACTCGCCCCTGCTTGTCTCCCAACATGGGGATCACACCCTCCTCATTCTGCCCCTTCTAACAGGGAACTTGCCCCACCCACCCCTCTCCTGTACCAGAGGATCTCCCTCCGCCCCCCCCATGCTACCTCCGGGGGGGGAAGAGCTCCCTCCCAAATGGGACTCAACCCCAACATGTTCAGTCCACTCACAGGGGAATTGGCCCCACCGATTGCACCCAAGTGCAGTACTTTAACAGCAGACTAACCCTTACCTGTCTGCACACAATCACTTCTCCCAGTCACCCCGGGGGAATTAACCACCTTAGAGGTGACTCTGCCTGCTCCTCCAACAGGGACAATAACCCTCCCATTCCCCAAGAAGGGATTCATCCATACCTCTCCCCCCAACATGGTAGCACTTGCCTCGGCCCTCTCACCCTCAGTCCATGGGTCTCAGTCCCAGCCTACTCCCACATATGGCTGTCACCCCTTATTCCTCCTCATCCAATGGAGTCACCTGCCCAGCATACGCCCTTACACACAGCAGAGTCATCCCAATCCTCATTCCAGGGGACTCGTCCCAATTCTCCTGACACCCTATCTTATTGGAGTCCCCCCCATTTCCCCTGATCTCATTGGACTTGCCTCTGTCCTAACCCTAGGAATTTACCCTCCCACAACCTTTACCCAGAGAAAGCATCTCCTGTCATCTCCCACACCCTACCCCTGACAAGCCACTCTCCAATACTATAGCTGAGGCGCCCCCACATGCTCCATCCTCTCACTGTTGCTGGGGATTTCTCCCCACTTCCTCTTCCCATCTGATTCACCTATCCTCCCCAGGGAATAAACCCAGTTCTGAATCCCTGTCCTTCCCCCACATCCTCCCTGGGGAATTCCTCCTGCCCAAGAAACAGCACAGAGACCATTTTTTTTCACCCTGTCCATTGGTAGTGGTTGTATTTTCCCCCCTCTTCACACCACATTCCTCTTCTCTAGGGGTATTGTCTTCTCCTTCCTTCCGCCCTGCCCTCAAAAGAACTGATAGTCCTTTGGTGCCTTTGATAAAAGGATTGTGTCCAGTTGTACATAGTAATTCATTGTTCTGTACAATGCCTAGCACTCTGCTAATGTTTAACAAATAGTTACGAGAGGTATTTTAATCCACTCTCTAATATGGGGGAAACATATCGTGGACTTTGTCTCTCAACCTCCCCCAAAAATTCCTTTGAGGTTTTGCGGCTGTTTCCTGCTGCTGGCAGGTCCAGCTTTTAATACAGTTAGTTTATTGAGTCAATAAAATATAAAACAGTCTTCTGCCCCATGTCGCTAATTCAGTGAGCATTCAGTAAACAGGTTTTTCTTTCCCAGTTTTTTTTTAATATGACAAATACAATAGATTTTAGCCCTGATACTGAAGGAACAGCCACAGTAAATATTATAACAAACCCCCTTAACCTTTCATGGAGTCAGAGACACACACATAAATTGATTGCTTCAAATAACATGATGAGCTGTGCTGTCTTTTTCTTAATTTCAAATTGCAGTTATTTGGGGATCTAGATAAGGAAGTGTTTTGTGTAACAAGGGGTAAAGCATCCATTAGGGTAAGAAGGTGGTATTTATTTTTTCTTTTTTTTTGTTTGGCTGGGGATAGGGGAAGAAGTTACTGGGAGAGGAGGGGTGCTTTGGGAAGTATTGGAGCTTTCCTAGAAAAGATGCTGATTGTGGTAGAATTTGATTAGGTCCTTTGGTCTTTCCAAGTCCTATTCACCTAGCAAAATGGATTTGAGAAATAGGTTATAATTAGAAACATGTTAATGAAGTGGCTGCAGTGCTTAGTTGATTTTAATTTCTAAGTGTTTGTATAGATGTTTGCACTCTTTCTTGGTATTGGAGGATTATATGGCCTGAAGGAAAGGGATATTTTTAAAAAAATGAACACCCAAATAAATAGTTTATGAATAATGGTATAACATCATTTTTGCGAAGGATGCTATAATTCAAATGACTGCAGTTGTGGGTTTTGGGGGGGGTGTCGCAGAGCAGAAATGCTTTATAATATTCCAGTATTATTTTATGCTATATCACGTGGTCAGCAAGAGGCAGGATGTTAAGCAGCATGTTGATGTATAAATGTGGAAAATATAGTGGTATTGGGGTTTTTTTGAAGGGAGATAAGTGCCTTTCCGAATGCTGGTGTGTTATGGTACGTACTGCAGTAGGCAGCATGTTGTAGTTAAAGTACATTTGCTCTGTTCAAGGACTTCTCCGAACATCGCCACTGCTATAGGAAAATAAAATGACAGTGGTACATTCTGTACTTCAGTGGTGAGACTCACCCATATGTATTAACAGGAAAAGTACGGGAACACTTAAAATGAAGTCTCCATTACATGCTGCTTCATTAATTTGAATTTTTACTTGTGTGTTTCCTCCTTTCAAAAGGCATTTGTGAGATTGTGGGTAGCTTGATGCACTTCATGCTTGCCAAGTGTTTGTCTTGTGTCCGGAGTAATTGATGAACTGGCACACAGTTTTACCTTTTCAAACTAAAATATTAAACAGTAGTAGAAGGTGAAATCGGTAAGCAAAACTGAATTATTGCTGTCCTCTGTTGCATATTGGCTTCTACAAGTTAAAATTCCAGTGCATGAAGAGTGGGTTTCTGGAATCATGTATCTAATGTGATTGTTTCAAGAATCTAGTCATACTTCATACAAAGTGTTAGGATCCTGATGCTGTGAGATGCTGAGCACCCTCCAGGCCTATTAGATTTCAGTAAGAGCAAACAATGTTCAACACTATCCAGAAGCAATGTTAAAATGTATATATGAATGTAGTTAAAATGAAACAAAAATAGAAGCCCCTTCAGCTGCTGAATATCTGCTTTTAAATAGCTTTAAACAGACTAAGGCTAAACCTTTTGCTTGAATATATGTTGTTAGCCAGGCCTGGGACAGACAGCACATATCCTCAAGCTATGAACAATAGAGGTAATAATAGCTCAACCTCTAGTGAGAGGCTTTTATTAGGGATCTTGCCCCTATATTCCTGGGAATAAATGTCATTCCATGGTCCACTGAAGATTTCATGCCATTGTGTAAAAACAACAAATATTCTCACAATCGAGCTTTCATACAGGGTTATGTGAAAAAGGGGTGGTGGAATTGGAATGCCCAAGGGAAAGAATGAACTTGCGGGAGTTGAAATCTTTCTTCTTCGCAAATTTTAGCAACTTTTTAAAGTAATACATTTTCTTAAATGAACTGTGAATTTTTTTCTTTAGTTCAAAAATAGACAAAGGGGCATAGAACAGTATTAAAGGGACATTCAGGTTAATATATAATGTATATTTCAGGTAAACATAATTTTACAAAACAAATTTAATTATCCTAGTTAATAAAACACTATGGATTCTAAAATCTCACTTAATTTTGCACCATTAAGGTTTATGCTTTGAACTTCTCTTAAATTGGACTGTTGCAATAAACAAACAACTGACCCAGTCTATAGGAAGTTTTGTCTTCTGGTTCCCCTGCACTTGCACAATACTACAGTGTTTGTTTTGCAAACACTATAGAGGAGCACTGGAAACCAAACAAAAACATTTCCATTAGAATTTAAAGAAGAAAATGCCAGACATATAGACATTTCTATTAATCGAACCTTTTGAGAAACATTGTTTCTATAAGATTTAAATTTGTGGCATAAATTCACTTCATGGCCGCTCTTTAATGGATTTTGAATTGTGATATATTAGAATATATAGTGTCTGAAATGTAAGATCTTGCTGTGGATAATAGATGGATGAAAACTTCCAGTAGTAGAGTCCAATTTAAAGTTAGCTTAATAATTTTGTTCATAGAGTTTAAGCTCCGTTGTTCCAGCTTCCCAGAGTTTGATCTTGGAAGAAACCTTTCTGTGATTGTGTTGCTTATTACTGGGTACACTAATTCTCTCTCTTTTTTTAAGGGTATAGAAGACATGTAAGTTAAAATCATAGTTAGCATGTTGACAACATGTGTTTATATATATAAAGAGTACTCCTGCAAGTGATGGTGACCACTTCACACTTACATATTTTTCAGGCTATGACAATGCCTTCCTGCAAAATGAAAGCAACTTCACTCCACAATTTAATAATAAATGTGATCTGCCTGGATTTTCCTTACCCTGGGAATCTTTTAGGCCTCGGACAGATTTCAGTTTATATGAAATGGTGCCATTAGCACCAACTTCACATCGGGCTCTAATTCTGTACTCTGTGAGCCTGAAGATGTGAAGAGCACTGTCTTACTGCATTAATTGGCCTTTTCATGTGGACTTTAATCATGGATGTTTAAACTGGTTTGGAGAAGATAAGAATGCTCCTTCCCTCCGAATCTTTGTCCATTTCTAGGCCTGGACTCAAAACAAACCTCTCTGTAAAGTTCAGATTTTAGCACCAGGTAGCAAAGTGCCGAGAGACAAGATGCTGTTTTGTGGTATTTCCAGTTGGTTTTCGGAGAAGTGCCAGAAATATCACAAGAGAGTTTGTTCAACTCCGTGTTGCACCCCTGAAGAAATATGAGTAGCTTCAGAGAAACTCCCATGCTTGTGTGTGCTTATCCAAATCAGATTGCAGCCCATCACTGTGTGGAATGGAAATATTTATTTTAGACCATTTTCTTATGAAGTATGATTTCCCTGCCAGGTCTCCTGGACGGTTTCTGCTCTGCTGTGTACGTCTGCAGATATGTACTTTATTTGAAAGCTGGCTGTATTGACACAATAGTATTTAAATTGGGACATGGCTCTCTGACACAATAGGCTGGTGTGTTGCTCAGTATTGTGTGGAGCCATTGGATTGCGGATAAACTTAGCAAAGCGATCTTACAAAATGATGATGTGACTTTACCACTGGCTGTCTCCCTACAGTGCTTGTGTTTAAAAATACCCAGGCCTGACAAAATGAGGTTAGAATGGAGATTCAGCTATAATGTTGAATTTTCCCACATTTTGAGTTTAGCAGTAGCTTTCGGTGGGGTGAAAATAGAGGGGTTTTAGTGAGGTAGAAAGGAGTAATTGCTTCAGAGAGCTCTAGCGATGATATAAGTCACAAACCACTTCAAGGCACAGTTAAACATTTCAGATTGATTTGACCAAACTCACGCAGAGGTAGAAGAAAATGGAAAGTTAAAGGCACGTAATTTCTTCTACCCATTTACTGATATCTTTGTTATTTATTGTTTCTTTTGATTATTTAAGCTTTCTGTAACACCTGATGGCCTGGGAAAGTGCTATGCATTGCTGTTGTTCAGTCCCTTAATCTCTGCTAAAAGAACAGGAGGACTCATGGCACCTTAGAGACTAACATATTTATCTGAGCATAAGCTTTCGTGGGCTACAGCTCCCTTCTATAATGCCAGCAGAGCAACTCCTGTGAATTGCAGCCTTACAGTCACTCAGGGGCCATCTCTTCTGCGTTGCTTAGGGTAGTTCTGTGAAGTCTTAGCAATTCAGTTAGCCTTTGCCCTTTATCAGAGCTTCACTAACTAGGGGGCTTGTCCACACTGGCAATTTACAGCATGGCAACTTTCTGGCTCAGGGGTGTGAAAAAACAAGCAGCAAGTTTCGGCGCTATAAAGCACCGGTGTAGCCAGTGCCCTGGTAGCCGCGCCCCTTGTGGAGGTGGGTTTTTTAGAGTGCTGGGAGAGCTCTCTCCACGCGCTGCGCCGTGACCACACAAGCCACGTTAAAGCGCTGCCGTGTAGACTAGCCCGAGGTTTGATGGAAACACCTGCAGTGTTTTTTTTTCTCAAGCACATTGAGAAATAGGTTAACCATGCTAAAGGGGTGAGGCTCTTTGTTTTCTTTCTACCTGACTTTATTTGCAAAGTGACAGGAATTTTGACAACCTTGTGTCTTTTTTAGCAAATCAAGTGTCATGCCACGTTTGCCTGTGGATGAGATCATTTGCGAAATATGTTTCCCAGCTTGCTTCAGGCATAATTCATTGTCAGCTGTAATTGCTCATTTGCTGGGAACTGTGATTTGTTAGCAA